CCCATCTCTAAAAAATAGCCAGGCACAGTAGCAGGTGCCTGTAGTCCTAACTGCTTGGGAGGCTGAGACAAGAGGATCACTTGAACCTAAGAGTTTGAGGTTGCTGTGAGCTAAGATGCCATGGCACTCTACCAAGGGTGACCAAGTGAGGCTCTGTCTCAAAAAAATAAAAAAAGAGGCTCCCTACTTCCCGCCCTCAAAAGGACTAAGTTCTGACTACTTGGTTCCTGAAGATGAGCGTTCTTTTCTACTGTCTCAGACTTTGCTAGCAGCCTGGGCTTAACCTAGTAGCTCAGCCATCCCCCATGGTCACTCTCCTATTGGCTAAGTTCACTCCCCTTTATCTCTCCCCTCTCCTACTTGAGTGATCCAGCAGTTCTGCTATTTGCAAAGCAGGGAGATCTAGTGCCAGCTCCCCTGTAATTGGAGGTGCAGACCTTGAGAGGTAAAGTATGAGAGGATTTTAAAAGCTTAGTAAACATCTTAAGGGTATCTGCTTTAATGATTATTTAGGAACAAACTACAGTGACCACATGAATGGCTGATGCACAAACACTTACATACCAGAGGACATTCCAAAACAGTCTGTTCTCCCAGGAGTTTCAAGATTTCCCTAACAATACTTGTTTATACTCTTGACTGGTTTGGTGAGCTATTCTTTAATAAGCAATGTAAAGGTAAATTTCAGTCCCACAAGGAGAGAACTTAAACATAATTTGCAAAATAAACTAATAATCTCAAATTGCTGGCTTCTAAGATGCCCATTTTAATTGTTTCAGATTTAAGCAATCATGCTAAAATGAAGGAAACCAACATTGATTTTTTTTTTTTTTTAAAAAGAAAGAAGAACAGTTAACATTTGCTAAGTATGCATATTTTGTTGGGCAACGTGCTCACAACTTCAAGTGCCCTATCTCATTTAATACTCCTAACAATCCTCTAAAGAAGATTTCTAGTGTTATTACTGTCTCCGTGTTACAGATGAGACAACTGAGTCTTAAACAGATTAAGAAACCAGTTCCCCAGGCGTTGCTGGAGGAGGCAGGTGTCACCTGACAGTTTCTCCATGGGGGCTGCACCCTTAACCACCACACCACCTGTCTCCCCTCGCTGGCCAGTCCCCAGTTCCCGCCTGGCACATCTTTTTTCAGCAGTTTGGCCCTGAATACACTTCAGGATAAGTTCCTCCGTTGTGATAAACAGGGCCCACGATCTCTGACAGCTGTTCCCCGCTCTTCATCATCATCTGAAACAATCAGTAAGCATTAGAGAGTACTTTTCCCTTTACAAAGGTGATAATTAGATAACAAGCTGAGATTAAAGTAATTACAGTTAGACAGCTGGCGAGGCAGCACAGTCATGCTGAAATATTGTTGGTACTTCAGCATCTGGTTCTAATAACAGCATAGGCTAAAGGATTTTACATTAATTACAGAACATAATTTAATATAAACATATTTAATTACAATTGATGAGCGATAAACTGTTCAAGAATGGCTTAACCCCTTCCGCGTGTCAAAGTGATGGGAACTTTGGGCGGGCTGTGGCCTGTCCCCCGGTCTTCCTCACCCTCCCCCACATGTCCTGCACACCTCCCTGGCACCCTCTCCTGGAGGAACCCCCCTCAAAGAAGGACCGTTCTAGGCAAGGATGTTGCTCATTGATCATCCCATGGACAATGCTGGGAAAAAAAAGGACTAGAGCGTTCCTCTCCAAGGCCTGACCAGCTCCCTCTCTCATGACCCTGCTCTGCTGAAATGAGGCGGCTTCCCCACTCCTCACCTGCTCTTCCCCACGTTCTAACACCTTCGTGTGCTTTGCTTCTGCCAGTCCAGCCTACTAAACAATCCTTAGACCTCTTAAGAAAAAGCTCAAAGGTAAATTTTTTTTTCTTACAAAATTAAGACTAGGAAATCCCTGGGCACAGTAGTCAAAGCCTTTTCACAATTTAAGAGTCTGTGTAACACCTGGAAACTTCGACTTGAGACAGGACATTATTCTGGCAGGAATTCTTCCTTACACGCTGCCCATGCTAGCCCTACCCACAAAACTGGCAGAAGCTGACCTTGGGGGAAGCAGTTTCTAAATTAGGACCACACAGGCACAATCTCCCCCAGATAAAGAACTCAACCATTATTCCCTGCACATTATCTTTCCGGAAGCCTCTTTATGAATGAGAGGCAGTCAAAAGTCACAAAACCCAAGCACGGCTAGGTTTCAATTCTATGGAGGTCACTCAAGAGTCAACCCCAAAAGATACAAGGCTGACCCTTCCTAACAAAGAGTGCGTAGCCCTGAATGAGTTGGAAAATTCACTGCCAAGTTTCTCTCATGAAAAATAGTGGGAAATTACAAATAAGCTCAAATACAGTTTTAACCTATTGCTATAGATTGCCGAGTATGAAGCATACATTCTTCTAAAAGCACAACGACCGTTTATTATTCATAAGTGAGCAAGTGCAACCTACTTCTAGAGGAATTACTGGCAGCTCTACATAAGGTAAAATGAGTGTGAAGACTCAGGACCACATTGCACACGAGAGAAACAGGCACTCTCAAAGTGAAAGTTGTTTTATACATATCCCTGAGGAAAAAGAAATTTAAGTGGCCTGACATACCAAATCTGCAATCTGAGTGAGAACTGCAAGGTACTTTTCATAGATGAAGCACTTTTATGGAAAGGAGGGAGGGAGAGAAAAGGAAAATAATGAATACAGTAAAGCATTTGTTACTTAAGTTACTACCACTGTCATTAAATTAAAAACTTATGTGTGTCAGATCACGCGAGCAAAAAAATTAAAAGATAACCCACAGCAGGGGAGAGAATGTTTACAAATATGATAAGGGTCTAGTATCCAGATTGTGTAACAAATGCTTACATCTCAATAATAAGAAGACAAATAGCACAATCATAAAAGTATGTAAAGGAGTTGAACTGATGCTTTTCCAAAAAAGATACCCCAAAGTCCAACGAGCACATGGGAAGACGCTCCACCTCATCCCTGTTTAGGGAAATATGAATCAAAACCAGAATGAGATACCACTTCACAGGCACCCAGGAGGGCTATCATCAAACAGATGATAGCGAGTGTTGCTGAGGCTGATGGGAACAGAAACGGCACAGTCTCTGGAAAACAGTTTGACGGCTCCTCAGAAAGTTGAAGAGCAACTACATGACCTAGCAATTCCATTCTAGGTATATACCCAGAAGAACTGACACCTGTCCACAGGAAGACTTGTGCACAAAATATTCATAGCAGCATTATTCCTAATCATCGAAGAGTGCAAACTGTCCAAAAGTCCATGAAATGATGAATGAATAAACAAAATGTGGCATATTCATACAAAGGGATATCATTCATTCATATAAAGATGTACCAAAGTCCAATGAGCACATGGGAAGGATGTATCACTACTTCATTCATTCCTACTGGGAAGGATGGGCACTGAGCACATGGGAAGGATGTATCACTACTTCATTCATTCCTACTAGGAAGGATGGGCACTGAGCACATGGG